AGATTCTGATGACACTATCTACACTACTCAACTCAAGCGGGCTACCTACAGTTACCGTGGTGACATATTATTCTTTCTAGGGTCGAACCTCGTGGCTTAGACTTAGATTCGTGTAACGACCCTAAATTTCCACATATCCAGAGTCGCCACTAACGTCTCATGCTCATCTCTAATGCAGAATAAAAATCTAAGCATGCTCATCTTTAATAGCGGAAAAATTTAAAACTTCAGAATACATTAAAACTTTGGAAAACACTGCCGGACTTACGTGTTTCAAACATTGAGCTAGAGTTCCAAAAAGAAAAAAAAATAAAATAAAGCGACTACAAATTAATTAATATAAATGAATGAATTGCAAACGCCCTATTCTAACTAAGACTAGGAATTAAATATGCATCTATCCTATGCACGCGCCACAGTCTCTGATCACGATGCCACCGTCAACCGTACATGGGCGCCTTGCCTTTACCTGAAAAAAAACAATATGGCACACGGCCTGAGTATTCAGTAAGTGACCCCACTATAGGGGCCATGCTAATGCAAACACATGCAATCATGAATAGGGACCTATCTCTAATCATCTTAGGGGTGGCCTCCAGTCTCGGAAAAATTGGATGTGTAGTACTTCCCTACACACGACTCACACGTGCGAGTGTGAGTCCCCAGGGCGTTCGCACACCCCCTGGACCCTCTGGTCAAGCTAATCTGTAGCGACGTCCGGAGGTCAGCGGAACCCCATAGTGTCATGCGCCTCATGAACACCCTCATCTGTGTGCTTTCGCACCTGTGCGCTTTCGCGCTCATCATAAGGTGCGCGTCCGCACTTATCATCTCTAGGGGAAGTAGCCCTATGCTTATGAACATACAAAATGCATGAGGTCCCTCTAAATCCATCGTAATATCTCTTCTGACACAACCCTCTAGTCTCATCTCTTTGTTACTCTAGGTAACGCATACTCGTGGATATTTATATTAATATCATTTTCATGCTCTTAGGGTTGTGTCCTACGTCGATCTAACGACATGATGCAATATGGCACTCATCATCATCTAGCATGCTCAATATGGAAAACATCATCATATTAAGGTAAAAATCATGCAATCATCATGCTCATCATAATGCCACAACGTGCGTCAAACATATCAAGCGTCACTCAACAAAATATGTATATACCGCGCATATCATCAAGCATCATAATCCACACATCATCATAACTCATAGAATTATTTAGCCTATTCTATAGTAAGGCCACTTACTTGGTTGGCCTTGGCCGAAGTACTCCCTAAATCGCTAAACGTAAGCTCCCGTTCCGTGAGAGCCGCTCCCTACGTCCCCGGGGTTTGTTTCCTATCACACCGTCCACCACTTTCCGTTAGTATTTCACAATTAATTTACCTATAATTTAATAAATGTGAAATACGGCTCTGAAACGGCCTCGGATACCTTAATCGGGGCCGAAAACAGATTCGGGAGGGTCAGAACAGTGGAAACCGGGCTGAAAACAGGTGAGCCGAGCCGAACAGCCACTGGAGCCGCCGGAGGAGCCGCCGGAGCGTCGCCGGAGGGAGCCCAATCTTGGCCGCCTTCACTCCAGAACTTAACCAGGTAGCGTTGTTGAGGGTAAGAGTCCAAGGATCAACACAAAACGTTGCTAACACACAAAATCTTGATGATTTCTCAATGTAGACACTCGTGGACTAACCTGAAGTTCTTGGACGTTTTGATGAAATAGGAAGGTGCGATTCGTGAGAGCACCTTGCCTCGGACTATTGACGGTTTAGATTGGGGACTCGGATCTCCGGCGTCAGTTCTGATCCGATCTCCTCCTCCTTCCTCAAAACCCTAATCTTCTTTCCCTCTNTAAGGCCACTTACTTGGTTGGCCTTGGCCGAAGTACTCCCTAAATCGCTAAACGTAAGCTCCCGTTCTGTGAGAGCCGCTCCCTACG